TTGTCAATCAATTTTATGATTAATCATAACTAATTATTTTTCGTATTTCAACAACATTCATATGCAATATTATTTCCATTATTCGTTTTCGGATTGCCCTAGACGATTGGTTCGCCCACACGGTAATACCGAAGCGAATTGTCTAGGGGAGTTAGGAGAGTGCCCTCTGACGATATAATTATGCAACAAATTAAGTAAGCAGGTAAGTAAGTTACTGTGGGACACTGTGTTTTCTCGTTAGTGACCATCACAATATGAACATTGAGTAGGTTTTCACAGTCAATAAGTAAAGTGAAATTGTGCACTGTGAGTGTACGTCAAGTGCTTACCATCGAAGAAACTGCCGATGGCCGCGTCCAAATGAGGTGTGATAGGGTGGATCGTATCCGACAGAGTGTTAAAGCCCTATCCGTTAACAGCAATAGGTAGTATGCGTAACAGTATGTATTATAAATAGTGTATAACTGTTTAACTTTATCAACAATGAACGCATGTTGTGTTTCACAATGAAGAAAACAATCTGGACCTAATATATTAGTTTTGGGACCAGTTTCCATCGAACACAATGGTAAATAACATTGACAAAGATCCAAAACCAATAGGTATCCTATCAGAAATAAGTAATTCTTCTCATGTCGCCACATGACGTGCTGCAATGACAACATGGTGGCATTATTTCAGATTGCGACTTTTGAGTGGATGCATAATTGGTATTCATTCTCGTTCGTAGCTAAATTATTATTATTATTATTATTATTATTATTATTACGGATTTTACGTGTTTGGTTTTAACTTGGATTTCTGTAAACCCGTTTCAAGCAGGTTACCGCACTCACCATTAACCGGACTATGCGTACGATGTCGCTGACGTAATCGAGAGCCCAATAACGCGGCTACCAATGTGAGAAACCTTCAAAAAAGATGAACACGACCTCAGTATAGTCATAGAAGTGGTTTATTCACAGGGTACGCGATGATATCCCCTTCACGTTAACAACTCGGCAGCGATGTTAAGGTGAGACAAGTCACATGTGAACAGCCGATGAATATTTAATGACCCTTACTTAGAACCTTAGTTCGTTTATTATTGAGTGCGTTCAGATTATGGTCATTAGCGCCACTCAATTATTCAGTTCAGCCCACCTTGATAGACAAGCTATGCTACTGGCAACACGTTCCAATTTATTGACGTTAATATTTATCTGTTATTTGCTGGCATCGCATGGATTTTACGTCATCGCTTATTAAATGTAACGATGATTTTATTGCATTTATAACTGAATGCAAAAAACAAGTTATATCCAATGTGCGCTCTCAAAAAACAACAACAACAAACCAAACAGACCAAAAATGTGTCCGTCACCGGCGCACGCAACGGTGGGGTTGAGAAACCACACCGGGTTGACATCTGGGTGCAAACGTCTTCGAACATCTGGGGCACTTGCCTTTCTCTTCTCTCGACTCGCTCTTCTGTTGATATCCGAGATTGAGTTTGGTGAATGACCAGGCCCCGGCATATGTATGGTAATCGGACAGCTTTACAGCGAATGTCCTTGTAACGAACAATAAGTCAATTACTACACATAATAGGCATCTTTTTAAAAAGTCGACTCTATTTAACAGATGGGTATATACACACATATATATATAATTCATTGATAAAAATTCATAACTTTCCGAAGAAAAATAGGTGGTGTAATAAACTACCGCATGTTTTACGCTAACTCTATTCATGCCACGTAATAGTTTTAATGCAGCCTATTCTCTCTCCGGGTGACGTTTACTTCTTTCCTTTCTCGGCGCTCACGTAACAACCAGTCGCCCCTATCAATAAACGACATTCTGGTATATCTTATAGCTTTGGAATATCCCATATGTGCACCATGCAGTCAATACGAACGTGTCGTCGTGCATATCCCTACATCTTGTTACGAGCATATGACGTTGCCCCCGGGGAGTCAGCGTCGGGCAGTACATGTGCATTGGGCTTAGATAAATACGCCAGTACTTCAAAAAAGTTCTTTGAAAAAGGTCAATATCCGTCCACATTAAATATCAAACTGAACTCAACCTAGAATCAGTTTATACTTCAAACGCCAACTACTATAATTCTTCTTCTGCTGACGATGGTTCCCGAATCTACCGATTCGAACCTTATTTGAAAACGAAACTGAATCAACACATATCTTGGCGAAGGCGCTGAGTTCATTGCAGAATTTGGTCAACATGCCACACATCTCGCACCCGGGTGAATTTTTAGATCTTTTTACTTTTCGGAGAAAAAAAAACGGTTTATTTGTCACATTTGTTACTGCATTTTTATGTAATATATAACATACTTTATTTAAATGAGCATGAGCTACGTTTTTATTATTTTTTTACGTACTTTTAATTTATGTAATTAATACTTGACCCAAGTCTTCATTGTGGTACCAAATGAGTAAACACACATTTACGATCATAGTATGCATTTAACCGAAATCATTTTCCATCTGTGTATGCTGTTGACTTATGCATAGCATACACACTCTTACACGTTTCCATCATGGCTTTCATTTGATGACGTCACGGTGAAGGTCATCCTTTTGGCTCTATGTCACGAGGAATAAAAATGAAAAAAAATACACAAAAATTACGAAAAGAAATGCAGCTCTTCTATATGGGCGAAAGATTGTCCTAAGATATTCCAAAAAATATGTTAACGCTATTTTGCGGAAACAAGAGCAAAGTCATGACTGGAAACAAATTACACGTATTTAATTGTTTGGCCTTACATGCTTACCAGCAATACTCGTTTGTGCATTAGAACGGGAGTTGCCTAGCATAGTATGCGATGAAAAAAATAATTGAAACGGTTAGATTATTTGTTTTGTTTAATTCAAGCAATCGCTTAACCTTCTAAAGAAATCGACATCGTGCACATAGATAAATGGACGACCCCGAATCATAACAGTGATAACAATTGTGACAAACAAAAATTATTTGCGGGGAAAATCGAGGCCCAATTCTCTAGAAATAAATTAAAAGGCACATTTCAGAGACTATATAAATATCACCTTGTGTACTGTCATAGAACAGAGATGTTAAAACAAAACACAGGTATACTACATATCCGACCGGAATGTGTAGAGCAAACGAACATTTTACGAATTAATACATTATGCATACCAAAACTACAATGTACATTTCCCTCCGTGAAATGAGCTTATCTCATACATATACCGTGACTAGTATGTACATTTTTGTATTTCCAGAGTAGTGAA